GGCGTTAGGGTTTAGGGTTTAGGGAAAAGGGTTTAGGGTCCATTCACCTCATGTCTGAGGACGGGCCACTGGGGGATTTTGGGCTTCCTGCACCTCCAATCGCTTCAGGGGGGTGTAGATGATTGTTTTAGGTTGGGTACGTAACAGTTGGATAATATCTATATTATGGATATATTAGGCCCTTATAGTAGCCCTATTAAAGACTGTTACTGTATGGGGGCAGTACGCAAGTTTCGCCTTGATAAGGCATCCAGATCTGAGGGCGGATCTCCAGATTTTCAGAAGCGATGCTTCCGTCAGAGACTGAGTTTGGCCTATATCGCAAAGCTTATTACTCAGCTTTATAACACCTTGGCGTGACCAAAGGCTGCAATGCGGTGTCTTCGGGTTGAAGCTTAAGGTTTTATAGGCTTTGCGGCTTGGAGGTTTAGAGTTTGGGCTTGAGTCATTGAGGGTCTCTAGGGTTCTGGATCGGGATGTCAAGCCCCTAATGTAGGGACCTTAAAAATTTCCTATACTATTGTGGGGGGGGTCCTTATTGTAATTACAGCATAATATACCCCACAACCCTATTCTAACTATAACGGCCCCAGCATTATGCCGAAGCACGATGTCCAGGATCTGATGAAGGCTGCTCAGGCGACCATCATGAAGACGAAGCCACAGTTCTCCAAGCTCTAGCTGTAAGGCTTTCTTTTGCTTCTAGCTGGCCCGAAGCCTCAACACAAGTGACCTGTTTGGGGTCGCGAAGTGAGTAACCCCTACTTGAGTATCATTGTGTATGCCCTATCTGTGTATGGTACATGTGCTACATTCATGACCTTCGAAGTTTTGGGCCATGGGGCATGTTTCAAAGAGAAGCCTCTCAGCTTGGTGCATCGCTGTGGCCAGCAGACAGTGAAAAGGTCTGCGTGCCTGCCAACGTCCGTGACCCTCAAATCTAAACTGAAACTAAGGACCTGAAGCCTACCAATTTTATGATCTTCAGTTTAACGCCAAACCCAACACAAAACCTGCAACTGCCTCCAACATGAAAACCCATGCGATTCTAATGCCGTGCCCTTTCTCTGAAGCAATCCGCGCGGGTCTCCGAGGGCTGAAGGCTCAGGGTCTATATACAGTAGATTTAGGGTTTAGGCTTTAGACTAAAGTGTTGGTTAGGAAGTTGGGGTGCAGGGTTTTCGGCCGTTGGGCCTTATGATGAAGCATCAGCGCTTGAGGGGTCAGGGGCTCCGTGGAACATTTCCTGCTCCACCCTGGCTTTTCTTCCAGTGTTGCTAGCAACGGACCGGAACCGGCCACATTTAGAGCAGAATAGACCCTAAACCCTATAAGCTACACCTGCCGTCAAGATCCACGGTGAGGTCCCTCTCTCAAAGCACCTTCCCCAGCAGCCCCAGTCATGAACAACCCAAAACTGCAAGTCCAAAGAATGGTCTTCGAAACCCTATAAACCCTAAACCCTAATCAAATCCAAACCAGCTTTCAAAAGCCGGAACCTGCAGTCTGCAACATATACAAACCCCCTTCAAACCCCAGGCAAATAGCCTTGATGTCTCTCACAGTGCTTCACATACCATAAAAAGCCCTAAAGAAGCCTTTATTCAAGCTTCAAGTAAACCATAACATCCCTGAACCCCTTAAAGAAACCTTAAGCAGAAGACTGGTAGAGCCAAGGACGCCCCCGAGCCAGAAGGGGCCAAGGAGCTTTACGAGTGGATGGAGTCGAGAGGCTGCACAGGCGCCTGAATTCATCGGGCCTGGGTTTTACCTATAGTCTCCATTGTAGTTCCTTTTTTCGGTTTAACCAATTATATATTAAGGATTCTATCAGGTATCCCCGAAAGGAACTACAATGGAGACTATAGGTACTCTAGGGGTCTGAATGATTACCAACCTTGTTCTGGGGTTCCTTATTATAACTATAGTATAATGTACCCCACAACCCTATTCCAATTGTTAAGGCCCCTGCATTGGTCTCGCTGGGGTTGGGGGTATAGGAGTCGCTGTAAGCCAGTTGCAGAAGGATTAGGTTAGGGTGTGAGGGTTTTGGCCAGTTTTTGAAACCTGCGTTTCAGGGTCTTCAAATCTACCTATAGTCTCTATTGTAGTTCCTTTTTTTGGTTTAACCAACGCTATATCAAGGATCCTCAAAGGTAAACCCAAAAAGGAACTACAATGGAGACTATAGGTAGGCAGTTTCCTTGAGCCTGGAGATGTTCCCTGCAGGCTTGGGTGACGTGCAGCTGCTTCTTGGTGGGGGTGTTGCGCTGCGGAGGTGCGGGCTGACATGTAGCTTCGGTTGATTCGCATGGGCGCTGAACTTGTACGGTTTAGGGCGACGTGTTGTTGGCTTGTCAGCGCTTGTTCAGCTAAGAGGTCTCCAGACTGACTTGTGCAAGCTTCTGATTCTGTTTGATTCTGCATTCGCTCGTGATGCTTATGTTGATCCAGGCTCGCCTTTTTACCTTTTCAGCAGACTGAGACTTGTGTAATGGCTGCACCTCCTCCGCCGCCAGCTCCGCCTGCGCCGCTCGCGCCGCCGACAAGGCCAAAGCGCCCTGCACCAAGCGGGCCTGACGACGCTGCCACACGATTGCAGCGCTGGTACCGTGCAGTGGCGCGACGAAGATCCTTCATGGTGATTGTGAACCGAGCACGGCGAAGACGAAAGTTTCTGGAGGAGCGACGGCGAGTGGCTCAGCGAGTCTGCTCGGCGGAGGCGGCGATTGAGGAGATACGAGAGCGCCTGGCGATGCCATCCGGGCACCGTCTGGTGGGTAAATGGCAGGAAGCCAGCAAGGCAGAAGCCGCCACGCAGGTACAAAGCCGCTGGCGCTCCGTGAGGGCCAAGAAGAAGCTGGTGAAGCTCGTCGGTGAACAGAGGTATCAGGAGGCGATCCGGAAGATCCAGGTCTTCATCCGACGCCGCCGGCAGCGGCAGCAGCAGTCTCCGCTCGTCCGAACGGCCGTGGAGAATCCTTTCTGGAGGCCCATACAAGAGGAGCGGGTGAGGGCGATCGAGAACTCCATCGTAGAGAAGCGGAAGCAGTGGAGCAGTGTGACAGGAAGAGGCCTGAGCACGGAGCAGCTCAAGATGCAGGCCACTGCCGAATACGAGCGCTTCCAACAGGGCGTCGGACGCTGGCACTACGATGTTTGGCAGACCCTCCTCGAGAGAGCTCAGGCGCAGCGGATCATCGAGGCAATGGAAGGTCGGAGCTTTAGCAACCCCCCGCCGTACGGGGTCTGCAGCGCTTACCTCTTAAGGGAGGCTGGGGAGAAGCACCAGGGCCGGAAGCAGAGCGTATCCCAGGCTCGAGACCTCGGAGACACCAAGGACGTGGGCATGGGCCAGTCGGTGTACGTGGAGTCTCAAACTGAGGAGCAAGAAGCCAACGAGCTGCTGTTTGCCTTGGAGAGCAAGCTTGGCTACAACTTTTCGCTGCCCGAAGTTTGACGCCGACAGTGCCGAACGTGCATGAGGGGGCCGAACCATCTGAGCATTGCGCAGCTGGCTAAGACCTGTATAGCTACCTAGCAAAGCAGCGGCAACACGAAAAGCCGGATGCCGATCGCTGCAAGGTTCCTCAATGTTTACTATGGAGAAAGGCTCCCGCAATGCCGGCAGTTCTTCTGAGGGTAGAAGACACTCGCCTGCCGAAAGGTGCCCTGCAATCCTCTGCAAGTGGGAGCTTCAGTCCTAAACCCTGATCAACTTGAACACTCCGTCTTCATGCCCGCCAGGAAGAGTCAATGCGGCAGTGCTAAAGTCGATCAGGCCTGCTTCGGGTTTGGGGTTCGGGTGGTGTGGTGTAGTGTAGTTAGTAGAGAAAGAGAAAGAGAGAGAGAGA